GCTTATCCTAGCTTACATATCTTGTTGTATTTCATACTTGCTAGGATAACTTATTAATTAATTTTAATTGGCATTTAATCGAATTAGATTAGCATAAGACCCTAATCACCCCCCCCCCTCTAGGATCTAACAGGAATAACATAGAATTATTGATATTTAAAATCAAGGAACTAATATCTAAATAACATTTAATATTTGTTCTTATAGGTATTCTATTAAATATCAACCGGTATATTACTATATTGGCCAATATATGAGGTTAAAACTTTATCTCAGTAATATTTTATATTATTTTTTTTGTTTGGTGATTTATTGATATATCAACTGTTATAAAAAATATGACCAATATATCCCTTTGAAGATTTTGAGAAAATCATGCCATTTTTAGTTTGATTGTGGACTTGGGTTTGGATCTGTTTGGGAAGTAAAATTGGAACCTATAAAACCCACAAATACCACAATTCTTCTGTCAAATCTGTTATACCCTAGAGGGAGGGTGATTAGGGTCTTATGCTAATTTAATCTGATTATATGCTAATTAAAATTAATTAACAAGTTATCCTAGCAAGTATGAAATACAACAAGATATATGAGCTAGGATAAGAAAAATGAACAATGAGATATATCCTATATGATAAAAATATATGCAAGAATATATAAACTAACACAAGGGTGAAATAAACATAAACAAGATAGTGGATGAAATAAAATGAGCAATGCACAATTGGTGATATAAGATAAATGCAAAAGCAAATGCGCCAATGACAAACTCAAACACACTCAAATGATCACGGAGTTCGGACCTTCCGTCCTACATCTCCGCTCCCCACTCTCGAGGAGAAATCCACTATCACAATCCGGTTTGGAAGTCGGAACTTCTGCACACTCGGTTTTCTAGCTAACCGAAAACTCTACAACTCACACTCTTGCAAACCCACTCTACACCCTCACAAGTATTGGACCTAGCCGTGTCTCCCTCAAGTGCTCGGTTACAACCTCTCCCTAGGTTCGTCAACCGACGCCACTCCTCTTGGGATGATCCCTGGCTTTCACCACACACTCCTCTCGGTGTACGAGTGTATTACAAAGTGATCTCACGATTAAGAACAATACAAAGAATGATTGTTCTCTAATATGGATGAGAACACAATAAAAGTTCACACTCAATTGTTACAACTCTCATCAACCCAAATATACTATGTATGAAAATACAATAAGCTCAAGTGGGTGTGTGTGTGTGTAAACAATGAGTAAAATCAAATCTAACTCAAATAGCAAATTAGCAATAATAAGAATATGAAAATCAATAATAATATTGCTAGAGAAAAGAGTGAGAAAACTTCTCTATAAACACAAAGAGAGGATGAGAAGATATTGAAGATGATCTCCTCAACAGATGATGCAAACTCCTCTTTGTAACAGCAAACCCAAAAAACAAACTAAACAAACTTAAACTCTTTTAAAACATGTTTAAAACATCCCATTGGTTGCTGAGATAGAAGGGGGTTTGGGGGTTTATATAGGAAGAGGAAGCAACAGAAAAAACCCCAAGGGAAAAGACCAAACAGCCCAAGAATCAGAAATATGATTCTGTACCAAAAGAGTCGTTGGGATAAACGGCGGTCAACCGCGGCGGTCGATCGCGAGCAACAAAAACAACATGAAAAGCTCCAGAGACTTCGGCGGTCGACCGTGACGGTCGATCATGGGAAATCTCGCGCTCACGGTCGACCGTGGCGGTCGACCGTGAAAGTCGCTGCTGCCCACTGACGAAAGAACTCAGGCGCGGTCGACCGTGGTGGTCGACCGTGAACTGATATATGAAATTCCAGGTTTTGAAAACAGTTTGCTGATTTTAGAACACTGTTTAAAAATATCAAATAAATTCCAAAAAATATAAAACTTTGGGGAATGATTGTAGACATCATAATAAACATATGAATTTTGATATTTTACAAAATAGGCCAAAGCACGAAAATATAAACATATGAATTTTGATATTTAGGCTAAACCATGTTTTGAAACTTTGTACAATGATTATGTAGACTTAATAAAATATGTATATGATTATTGTTAAGTCCAAAAACTAAGAATACAATATTTTTACAAATACAATAGAAAATGAAACATATGATTATGTATTTGAAAATATGTTTGTTTCATATCTAAGTAGTTAAACCAAATCACAATAATAAATATGAAATATGTAATTTTATATTTATAAACATAAAAACCAAAACTTGTGTTGTATATATATATATGACTACATATATATACAAGGAAACTAATAAAATGTGTGTGTATATGATATTGAGCTTAGAGTATCTAACACACATAATATAAAACCTAAACTAGATTACCCAAGCCGATCTTGATCTTCAATAAGCTTGACTTGGTACACTATACAGATGAAGCTGAACTTGGATCTTAAACTTGAATTGCATAAGCTTCACTCCACAATTCCGCCAACCTCCATTTGATATCGTCGTTGAAGCGTTATTCCATCCATCCTCCAATATATTGTTTGTCTAGAATAAATATAAAACACAAACACTAGACAAACAATATTAGATGTAAATTGTTTGTAAATCATCATCAAAATAAGAAGGCCAATAAAATCTCTCCACTCTTAGCTCTCCCAAATCTTAAGCATATATCGTGATAAAAATTCTTATGTTTAAAATTCATTAAGATGTTAGATTACATATTAAAATATCATGTTTTGTGTGAATATTATCTCATATGATACCTAGTATTATATGCATATCCCTGATTTTTACAATCTGATATCGTGGATTTTATTTGTTCAATATTTATCTAATGTCCAATACTTTGTAGTAGTCCATCAAAAGCCTCTTCTAAAGTTTTCTAAGGGAAGTATATAATCTTAGGAAATAATTCAAAATTTTGAGATTCGTTCAAAATATGATGCTTTATTTTTCCACATCTTCTCTACTATATAAATATAAGCTAGCATCTAGCCTCATATTGTATGATGAATATTATTTATCAATGCCATAATATACTGTTGTTCGTGGATAACAAATCTTTCATAGACTTAAATGAACTTAAATACCTTATAGTTTAAAAAAATTATACTTATATACCTTCACTTGTATGTTGCTGCACTTTTTTTATTTTAGATAATGTATATTGCTATACTTAAATATCCTAATGTTTTCTAAAATTTTATGCTTGTATCTTCTGTCTTGTTACCTAAAAATAAAAATGCTCTTTGTAATTTTTCTATATGAGTTTCATGGCATAATTTTAGGACAATTATATGTTTTCTACTCTTTCCATAAATACTTTATTAACATGCAATTATCTATTAATATTTTTAGGACAATTATATGTTTTCTACTCTTTCCATAAATACTTTATTAACATGCAATTATCTATTAATATATTATTATACATTACTAATAATGTACTCTTTCCATAAATACTTTATTAACATGCAATTATCTATTAATATATTATTATACATTACTAATAATGAATATGATGCAGAGTTTTACAGTAATGTTGAAAGTTTTAGGACCAAACTATACAAACTCAAAGTGACATATGATATCATTAATTGACAATGATAATTTATTTAGTTTAATTAGTATTAGAATGTAATATCAAAAAAGAATAGGGGTAATATAGTCATTGAAAAGTTTTTTCTACAACCCCCTCTTTTAAAAGGAGTATGATATGATATGATATGATGTGTGTGTGTTTAAAGTTTGTTTAGATATGATATCTATATATTAAACAATGTGTTCATATTCCTACCATCTTCATCTAACTATATAAGCTTCACATAATTAAGATGTAATGACTAGGACTATGACGAATATACGATTGAAAAAGTGCAGTTAGTAAAAATGACTGGGAGAAATTATGAAAGAATTAAAAAAATATAACTACTTATACTATATATACAAAAATAAAGTACTACTAATGTATTCTTGTCATTAAATTAAAAACCCAAATCAAAACATCATTATTTTAGTATTCAGAAAATTAAAAAAGAATCTTAGGTTAATTGTCAAAGAAGAAAGCATCTATTCCCTTGCGGTGTATGTAAATGGACTGCATCTCTCCCTCTTTATAGCTTTCTATAATCTCAGAATAGTGGAGAGAGAGAGAGAATTTTTCGATAGAGAGAGAGAGAGAGCGCTTTATATTGTTCTCACTCATCCTCTCTATTTTCTTTTATCTGTGGGCCCAAGGTGTCAACTTAGAGGGTTTTGACCTATTAGCTTTTGCTTGGATTTGGGTTGGAGATTAATGCTTAGTGACGTATGCATGGTGAGAGTAGACAACCTTCTATTCTACTAAAGCCATACAGGTTTGAGCCCCACCAACGCTTTAGAAGAAAAAAGAGAAGAAAAGAAAAAAGCAAGGGCCCCCTCTCATCGATAGCTTCGTTCCAAGGGACTTTATAGAATGATATTTACATGTTTAACCACCAACATTTGAGGCTCCATGTAAATTATAGTTGCAAAATATATGTATGTATTATCAAAGTACTAAAGTAACTTTGGTGTATAAATATGATTTAGCTGTCCAACTTGCACTAAATGGGTCTAGTTTTTAAGTTCACATCACTAAATTTTATTAGTAAGAAAGGTTTGTTTGAGGTGGTTAGGTGAGCTCAAAGAGGGATAGTATGATGATTCATAAGGTCAATATATAATGAAGATGTGTGTTCTTGTCATCATAAGAAGATCACCAAGGGAGCATGTTTTAAGATGTAAAGACATAAAACATGGGTTTGTCTCCTAACCATGCAATCCAAATCTATCTATAAAACATATATATGTTGTTTTACATGTATAATGGCACACTAACACATGTATATGAATTTTATATGGA